ACCCCCCAATTCTACGTGCTAGTATTGGCAAAGAGGATTATCCAATCAGAAATGGAAAGGCGTCGACAAGGGCGGGAATTGAACGTTTGAGTGGCAGGTTGATGCTCCCCGCCTTCTTTGCACTGCTTTTCCCGATTGGTCCGACGACACATTCTGTGTACATATTAGAGCCAATAAGACTTCGCAGATTGTCCTCTCCTTCCTCCAAGCATTTTGATTTTCCCAACCCCGAGTGCTGGAGTTCAGCAGAGGCTGTAATTCGGGTAGGAAAGTTCTTATCTAAATACCGTTTGACATTTCCCCTGTAATACGAGTCTGGGTAGCTGCTTTAGAAGTGAGGCGTCTAGTAGGTTAAAATTAAATTTGGAATATTATTGACGCCGATCGCCTAATTTCAGATTTTTCGAAGTGATTGTGCTTTCTTTGGGGAATTGGAATTGCTTTCTGCACATGGTCAGAGGAGTAGATTTTTAGAAAATGGATTTTGCACATTCAGAGCTTAAATTTAGTAGAGACATAGATCTTCCCTCCTTCTTAATGTTACATTGTACACTTTATTTTAAGGATGCTACACAAAATTTGCAGAGGTTTTTTTTTTTCATTTTAAATGGCTTTATTTCAACTCTTATTTTCAAGTCTTTGGCAACTCTTAAAGTGTGTGGACTCCCAGAATTCCCCAGCCAGCTAGAGCATGGTATCTAAATCAAGGATCTCCAACCTTGGCAACTTTAAGCCTGGCGGACTTCAACTCCCAGAATTCCCCAGTCACCTTTGCTACATACAAGAAAGCTTTGCCGGCTGGGGAATTCTGGGAGTTGAATTCCTCCAGGCTTAAAGTTGCCAAGGCTGGAGATCCCTGATTTACATACCATTCTCTAGCTGGCTGTGGAAAATTCTCAATTTCAGTCTTTTTCAAACATGGCAGCTTCAAGATGGCCATGCTGCCTGTGGGATTTCTGGGAGTTGAAGTCAGCATGCTCAGTGTTTTATCTTATTCTTGCTAGATCCTTCAACACTGGGCTTTGATCCTGAAATTATTTTCTTCAGCAGGATTTTCTAGAGTGTACCTAATGGGTAAGAGAGTCCTGCGGGTCATTAAGAGTGATGTTAAAAGGAGAATTGGGTGGTATTTCAAGAGATTGGGGAAATTGTTCTTCTGTGCTTATTCAAGTCTAAAGAATTAGAAGATTAAAGAGTCTAAAATTAAGACCTTCCATTCTTGAAATATCCTCACAAATTTCTGTAGCTTCACATGTCCATGAATGAGTTTTGACTACTGTTTACCATAGGAAGGAGAGTCAGTATGTAGAAAAGTAGTTAATTTTAACTAATTCTAACAGAGACCCAGATTCTGGATTCTGATCCCAGAGGTCATTGATTACAGCACTTTGGACCAACCTTTCTCTCTTAGCTCAGTGTTTCTCAGCTTCAGCAATGTTAATATGTGTGGACTTTAACCCTCAGAAATTCCCCAGCCAGTTTGAAAATAATTTCTAAGTGTCTTCCAGCTGGATAAGAACATGCTCAAATTCAGTGTTTTTCCAGCTTGGCAGTTTCAAGATTGTCAAACTAGCTGAGGAATTCTGAGAGTTGAAGTTCACACATCCTGAAGTTAGCATTCAGCAACTCTCTTTAGGTTCCAGTCCAGAAACATCTGCACTTTTTGGGAAATATGGTTGTTTTAACCAATGAACTAAAGCAAAACAAACCAGAGCTGAAAATAGTGGTTGGATTTTGCCTTACTTTGGTAAATCATGGGTGATAGTTTATCCTTGTCAAACTAACAATTATGAGTAGCCTGGATTTGAAAGAAGATGCTTTTAGTTTCTTCCTCTGGAATGGTCTTGCTGACTGGAAGAAGTTGTAGTCTGTCTGAAGCTTACGGTAAATAAGCTTGTTCCCACATGACTATAACCATGTTGCTTGTATCTTTCAATTTATATTTTATTTGTTTACTGGTATAATTTGATAGCTTATTAGTAACCTTGATTATCACTAAGTGTGGTATATTTTTATTCTTGATGAACGTATTTTATTCTCCTTATATAAACTGAGAACATATGCACCAAAGACAAATTCCTTGTGTGTCCAATCACACTTGTCCAATAAAGTATTCTATTCTTATTCTATTCACATTGTGCTCAGTTGCAGTTTAATGTTAAACTGAACCAGGATGATGATTGCTCTATTAAAATTTGTCAGCTGTAGCATCACTTCAGATTGTCCAAAGCAAAATAACAATTGATGTCTTGATTCTTCTGGTTTCCTTCTTGATAACATGTTTTGTTTCTTTAATGAACCACATACCAAATATTTGCATTGTGTTTTCAAACAAAGTGATGGCAGCTGGAACAGCCTTGGTTTATGATGGTGAAATGATCAACCATAAGCTACTTTGGGAAGAGTAAGTACAGCTTTTGTTGTTGTTTTTTCATTTAAGAAACCTTTACTTTGCAATAAAAGGGAATTGCAGATACAGGTTGTTCTTGAGTTACAACAGTAATTAGAATCAGGATTGCCTGGGTGCGGAAGGCCTGGTACATGATGTGCAGAAGTTGGGGGAGAGGATGCTGGGATGCAGGTGTGCATGTTTGAATGCAGCAAAATCCAGGATAGGAAGGCATAGCATGGTGTGCAAAAAGATAAGGGGTGGGGACATGCCAGAGTGACTTGTAACATTCCTTCTGACTTTCCTTGTGGGAAGCTGGCAAGGAAGGTCACAAAGGATAATTATATGATTGCTGGATAGTGTAATCATTCCAGTGTGAGCCAATTGTACTCATCTGGAACTTCAATTATAAGTATATATTTCTATAGCTACCCATATTAGTCAGTGGAGCACTATGATCAGAAACTTGCATATTTTGTATGCTTGTGCATTGTTTCTGCCTGTACAAAAGGAGAGCGGCTTTGATGTTGATACATACACCCTTGCTGTGGATACTATTGCATGCTTCAAACAGAAAATCCAGTCCTTATCCTGCCTTAGTCCATTGCAGTGTTTCTCAACTTTGATAACTTTTAAGATGTGTTGACATCATGACTGGGGGATTCTGGAAGTTGAAGTCCACACCACTTCAAGTTGCCAAGTCTTAGAAATACTGTTTCATTGTTATCATAGAATCATGGAGTTGGAAGGGACTTTGGAAATCTTTTAGTCCAATCCACTGTCTAAGGCTAGGAGATCATGACAAAAACCCCAGTTTAAAAGAGTTTTAGTTAATATCTCAGGTATTTCATTATCAATACTATTGTAAAGAATACATTCCTTCCTTCACCAGTTTTTTTTCTTTCTAGTAATGAAAAAAAAATCATCTTTCTTAACTGTAATATAGATTTTTAAGGATTTTACTAGGACCTAAATCTTGGTCTCAATTTTAGCCCAGACTGTAATTTGGAAGTCCCTGAACGGCTTTCCTCCTGCTATGGCTGCCTTCAGCACTATAACCTGATTGAAAGATGCATTTCTGTCTCTGCCAGAGAAGGAACTGAGAGTGAAATCATGCTGATTCACAGGTATGCTCCCAGGGCAGTGCTGGATAAATAATAAAGGGAAAAAAATCAATGTCATATTTCCTTTACACTTAAAAGATATAATTTGTTTTGAAAAGTTTTTTTTATTTTAATTGAACAAAAACACAAAAAAANTGGACTAGAAGACCTTCAAGGTCCCTTCCAACTCTGTTATTCTATTCTATATTCTAAGTGATCATTGTTGCAATTGTGCGAGTATAACAAATCATGAATGCTGGTTTGTAATGTTTATATAAACCAGAGCTTAAGCCACCTTTTATCAAATACCACATTTTGTTTAGATTTCCATGCAAATATTAAATATAAATACAATTTGAGCATCATATTAGGCCCATGAAGACATAGGTTTACATACTGGCAGTCCTTGACTGACAAGCAAAGTTGAGGCCAGAATTTCCATTGCTAAGCAAGGCAGTTAAGTGACTTGGGCTTTTTATTAATTTCAGCCATAAAGCTAACCTTTCTTGCAAGTTTGTTGCATAGTTAAAATGGAGTCAGAGGGTTTTTGTCTCTATGGCATCCTTGTGGCTTCTTCTCCATACACAAGTTGGTCTCATGTGGATGCCCAGGGTGGCATTAATTATACTAGACACTGCAGAGGTGGAAAAACATTGGTCTCCTGAAAGCAGTGTCCTAATGAGAACATGCTGAAACGATACTAAATTATTGAGATGATTAACTGAGAATACACACATATTCAAATGATGTTTTGAAATAAACAGCAGCGTCTGAAGAAAGTGCAATAGAAGATTGCCTGACTAGACAGCTCAGTGGCTAAGACACTGAGCTTGTCGATCAGAAAGGTCAGCAGTTCGAATTCCTAGTACAGGTCTCCTGCGTGAGCAGGGGGTTGGACTAGATGACCTCCGGGGTCCCTTCCGTTATTATATAATTAAAAAAAAGATGATGGGAGCTGAGAACGAACACAGGCACAGCTGGGCTCTATGGAAAACAAAGTCAGCAAAGCATGAGCTTATATAGAAAATCAGGAATGGATTCCACCAGAAATTGGAAAGCGCCAAAGTAAAGAAAGTGACCTTTTTTGTATTATTCGTAATGTCTTCTACGCATACATATTATTTAGTAATGAATCAAATGCAATACCTTACTCTTAAGCAACTTGGCAACTTGAAGACTTGTGGACTTCAACTCCCAGAATTCTCCAGCCAGCATAACATAGCTGGCTGGAGAATTCTGGGAATTGAAGTCCATAAGTCTTAAAGTTGCCAAGTTTGGGGACCTCTGCTCTTAATCCACTTCCGCCCACAGAGCTAACATTAACAAAGAATATTACGATGCAGCATGCACACTTGTTTCCAGATTCAGTACACGCATCAGCCCAAACCTTTGCTCGATTGGCGTCACACCGCACCACGTATTTCCCATGCTTTCCCCCCCCACCCCCCAATTCTACCACGTATTTCCCATGCTTTCCCCCCCCCACCCCCCAATTCTACC